ATTAGTCGCAATTAGAATTTATCATGAGAGACAATAGAAAACATACTAATTATAAAAGTAGTTTCAGCTAGATTCATGGAATTCTGGGATTCATATAAATCTGGATAGATTTTGCATGAACGTAGTAATAGACCACACATTAGAATTCATCTGTATGAAATACATTAATTTTCACCCTAATAAAATATTAAATTTGGCAAGCAGGCTGAAAGTGTATCACATTTAGTCAAGGATTTTTATACAGTTTGGATTGTTGGTTGTCTTCCATAAACTATTTATATTGAGCCATAACAAACTCTAATTTTATATCTTGTGCAATATTAAAGAAATAGTGCAGATGTTAAAACTTATCACTGCACCATTATGAAGCTTTTCTTTATGAGCATGAATTTATGTTTGTTATACTTGAATAGTTTGTGCAAGGCACAGCTCAGTTGGCTTGTCATCTTTGAAATATGCAATCATAATTCAAATGAATGCAATCAGGTGAAAATTAAGATATTTTCCAATTGTACATTTTTGAAAGATGGCTTGAGTGACCAAGGTTTAATATAAAATCTAGCATGTTTTTGTAATATGCTGGTATATTGATGCACTTATGGCCCATTTATGGGCAAATTATCATTAGCTAAGAATAAAACTCCATTAATTTGCTTCAATGAAACGATGCGTAGGTGATTCCCAGATACACTCATTTTTGATTTTGTTCACTTACTGAATCTACTGCTTGATGAAGTGATAAACATATCTTTTTAAGCATGTTGCTAATTTCTGACATAAGGAAGATTAAGAAAGGTAGAAGGAAGAATGAGATCCAATGAGTAGATTTTAGGGTACTCAGAATGAGGCAAACAATCAGTATCTTGTTAGGTCGTAATCTCAAGATAATGTCCTGCATCATCTGCTCATGAAGGGAGGAGGCTAATGTCAAGCAGAATGCCTCAGTTGGAAAGATGGTGTCGGAGGGATTACTTTGGATTCTTGGAATATTGGAGCCTGTGTTGGGAAAGATGGGACTGTACACACTGGCAGGTTGCACCTTGTCAGAGTCAGAACTGATTTTTATTGTGAGGTGGTTAACTGGTGTTGTTTGGTGGTCTTAAACTAACCAGGCAAGGAGGTGGAAATTGGGGGGAATATCAGAGATACTCAAAGATTTGGGAGAGATTTATAGCACGTGAGTAAGTCGTAAGGTGTTAAGTCAAGTCTGACTAACTGTAAACGCCTGGAGTAATTTAAATAAACTGAGTTAACTGTGGATGCAGATGGACACACTGGATTATAATCCAGAAGGCGAACATTGAGACTGCCTTAAAAAAGAACAAGACTGGACAATAAAATCAAACAAAGAACTGAGGATGCTGGAGATCTGACAGGGTAACAGAAATTGCTGGAGACATATAGCACATCTGGCAGTGTGTGTGGGAAGTAAAGGAGAGTTAACGTTTTGAGTATGATAACTGTTCATTTATGCTGAAACTGAAGTTGAGGGTGTCTGGAGTTGGAGGTGGGTGTTGAGCAGATCAATAGAGATGAAGCCCAGAGAGAGAAAGAAGCTGCTGGAAGGAAAACCCTAGCCTGTCTAGTTTTTGTTCATAGCTGAATTGTTCCAGCCTAGACAATATCCTGGTGACTCTCCTCTGCACGTTTCCTAGTGTGATCCCATCCTTCCTACAGTGTGGTGAGCAGATCTGTGCAAAGTTCTCTATGACCATCTGAACACCATATTCCCATGAGCAACTCCATCCAGTCGACTACCGAATGTTATATGCTGCTCTATCATAGCCTCCTTGCTCTTGTATTCATTGCCTTAATTAATAAAGACAAGTGTTTCATGTGCCTTCTGAACAACCTTAGCTACCTATCCTGCTGCCTCCAAAGACCTATGGATGTGCGCACTAGTCTCCCTCTGATCCTCTGTACTTCCAAGGGACTTCATTCAACAGCCCTCTTAAAATAAATCACCTCACACTTTTTAGAATTAAATTCCATTTACAACTGTTCAGTCCATGTGACCAGCTAATCATCTTCATTCTGTAATCTAAGACTTTCCTCCTTTCTGGTTACTACACCTCCAATTTTTGTGTTACCTGCAAACTTAATGTTCCTACCCTCATGTTCATGTTTAATTGTTTAATGTATACAAAAAGGGATCCAGAACTGAACCCTGCAATACACTACTTGACACAGTTACAAGAACACCCTTCAATTATCTCCCTTGATACCTGTCCCAAAGCAAATTTTGGATCCAATTTGCCAAATTGCCCTTGATCCCATCTGTAACGAGTCTGCTATGTCAGACCTTGACGAATGTTGTAACCAAGAATGTTGCTTGCCATTCGTCAGTCCAAGCCTGGATATTGTCCAGATCTTGTTGCATTTGTACATGGGCTGCTTCAGTATCTGAGGATACTACAGAACAGTGTGCAATCATCAGTGAACACCCCCCTCTTCTGACCTTATGATTTATAGAAGGTCATTGATGTTGTGCTGAAAATTGTTGTGCTTCGGACACTACCCCTAGGAACTCCTGAAAAGATGTCCTGGAGCCGAGAAGACTAATCTGCAATAACCACAACCAGCTTCCTTTGTACCAGATATAACTTCACGCAGTGGAGAGTTTGCCCCGGATCCCACTGAATCCAGTTTTGCTACGGCTCCTTGACACCACATTCAGTAAAATACCTTCATGTCAAGGGCTGTCACTATTTCCTCAGCTCTGGAATTCAGCTCTTTTATCAATGTTTGAACTGAGGCTCGAGCTGAGTGGTGCTGGTGGAACCCAAACTGGGTGTCATTGAGGGGGCTGTTGAGTGTTACAGGTCATTGTTGAGCAGCTGCTGTTTGATAGCACTTTGACACCTTCCATGACTTTACTGATGATCGAGAGTAGACTGATGGGGTGGTAATTGGTGGGGTTGGATTTGTTGTACTTTTTGTGCATAGGACATATCTGAGCACTTTTCTACAATGTAGGGTAGGGGCGACTGCTGTAACTGTGTTGGAAGAGTCCATGATATCACTCTTTGTTTTACGCGGGTCCTCTGGTCCTGGGCTTCAGTTTATGCAATTAAAAAGACTTTGTCTTACTCTAGATTTTATGTCTCCTTCCTGACTGTGCAAAGCTTGTTGATCTTTTCTTTGAGGAAAAACCTGAATGTAATCTCAGAGATCTCAGCACCTTCTGTTTGGTTTATACAGCATTTACTGTGATATAATTAAAATGCTGTAGTGTGGACATCTAATTATCTTTGTGATGCCTATAGACGTCTTGCCTGCTAAGTTATTGGACCCTAATGTTGCTGGGGAAAAAAAAGGTAATAAGTTGCAAATCAGCTTTACACTTCTTATAATGAAGTACTGCCAGCTGAGTTGTGAATAGACTTAAGTTGCTGAGCATTTGTTGTAGTCTTGATGAAGGGCGTAAACCGAATGTCCACTTTCTTGCTGCTCAGATGCTGCCTGACCTGCTGTGTTCCACCAGCTCCACACTGTATTGACTTTGTTATAATTTGTTAGTTTGTGACAACAGCATTTTACCTGTACCTATCTATGGGTTTCACAAAGTTGGTGCACTTTAAGATTAATTATGAAATAAACACCCCACAGAAAGCTATGTCTCTCAATTACAGTGCATAAGTGGAATTGACTTCATCGAACAAGAGTCAGTGCTTGTTTCACTGATATACCATTAGCACCTTTCCGGTCGCCTATATGGCAACCAAGACTGCTAGCCTCCGTGTCAGCATGGTGTGGTGCGTAGCTGGGTTTTTCTGGGCTGAGATCTGTTTGAGAGCATTCTGCTCGCCCGTCTGTCAACACCAGCAATCAACAATCTTCTACCAAGCAAGCTGGAGCCAGAGACATATTATTTGATTGGAATACATAATGTGGAGGTGTTGGTGTTGGACTGGGGTGGACTAAGTCAGAAATCACACGACACCAGGTTATAGTCCAACAGGTTTATTTGAAAACACCGCTTTCAGAGCCTCGTTCCATCTTCAGGTGACTAACACCTGAAGGAGTGAGGCTGTGAAAGATTGTGTTTTCAAATAAACCTTTTGGACTATAACCTGGTGCCATGTGATTTCTGACCTTGATTGGAATACCTGGAGAAGCAAAGGTACATGGAATATAAGCCTTAAGGGAATGCTAGGTGATTAGTTCACTTTTGTATGGAATAATTTAATTGACAAATTTGGATTGAATATGTATTTTATTTTGGCTTTTGATTTTGCATTGTTGGTAAGAGAAAGTCAACTATTGCCTTGACAGTAACTGGCAATCGAGTCTTTTTCTAGCACCCTCGCTGTTAATGCAATAAGTGATAGAATTCAGTGGTGACCTCCTTCGTAAATTGTAGATATCTCAGACATTGATCGTTGCTGAAGTTAAGGTAGAAGAACTGCAAGGCAGACACAACCTCATCCAGAGACCACAATTCCTCGTTATTCTGCTCTAAACAGATACTGTTCTTTCACCCATCATCATCACTTCCAAGAGGAATGCTAGTGTCTGGGAGCAACTGGTTTCTGCAGAAGTAGTTAGGTGGGTAAAAGCATACATCTCCTGGACCAGGCAACTTGTAGACAAGTAAAACTTAAACAATTGTAGAGAGCTTCCAAAATACGTAGAATTGCTGTAACCAATGGAAATAAACCAACAGCTAACCTGTAATGACTTGATTATTTTAAATAGTGCTACTTTGGGAGCAGTTGGTGAGGGTTTATTATGCTGCAATATTGTGTTCTGTTTAAGATGTAGGTTGAAGATGGAGATCCAAAATGGCAGCACTGACATTGTATCACAAAATGCCGTGTTTTTTTTTCTGTGTGTTTCAGGTGGATTTTAAGTGTGCATGCACTAACACCTTAAGAAGTGTGGCATTCCCTTTACTTGGTGGCTGAATTCTGCATGCTTGTTGTGAGGATTTCCTGTTGTAGTGTTAAATGTATAATTTTGTACATTTTGAGTTACTCGTCATTTTATCTTTTTTATAGGTAGACAAGTCAACCCAGAGAGCACGTGCAGTGAAAAACTGGAGAAGACTATTATCCTTTTCACTAAAGTGGTAAGCAACTATCGTTTCTTTAAAATCACATTGTTTGGACATGTTGTGAAACACTTCTGTGGCAGTTGGAACTTGAACCCGGACTCTGCACTAGTTCTTTTTAAAGAAAGTTCATCAGTCTTACACTTGACAGTAATTATATTTGAAAACAGCAGAAGATTGAGCAGTAATGAGTTGTAATAAACATTTTGCACCTATCCAAATGTGAACTGATCAGAAGTAACTTCCCAAGAATTTTTTTAAATAGTGAAAATATAAAGCTGAATTTTTGTAGGTGAATATACTCTTGACCTCCACTTGACTAAGTAGAGAAAACCTGCAGAAGGCTGCAGTATAGAAGATTTGATAGTCCTCATGCAGAAATCACAGAAAGGACCCTCACTAGCTTTTACAGATGCACCATAGAAAGCATACTATCTGGGTGCATAAAGACCAGGTACAGCAAATGCTCTGTCCAGGATGGTAAGAAACTACAGAAAGTTGTGTGCACAGCCCAGACCATCACTGAAGCCAACCTACCATCCATGGACTCAATTTACAATTCTCTTTGCCACAAAAATGCTGCCAACATCATCAAAGACCTTTCCCAGCCTTGTAATGCTCTCTGACAACCTCTTCCGTCAGGCAGAAGATACAGAAACTTGAACACATGCACCAATGGGTACAAGAACAGCTTCTTGCCTGCTTTCATCAGACTGAGAAATGGACACTATAACTTCAAATAATGTTGATCTTGTTAATATTGATCTTACTTCGCACACCTCATGTGCAGTGTAATCTGTATGCCTCACTCAGTCTAAGCACCCTTGCTTACTGTGGTCTGCTTGTATTGCTTGCAGTCAAAGCTTTTCACTGTACGTGGGTACACGTGACCACAATAAATCAAATTAAATCAAGTTGGAATCCAAGTTCCGCAGGTAATAGAAAAAGTAAATGGATTGATGGCCTTTATTTAATAGGGAGCAGGGAATGAAAGTAGGCAAGTCTTTGCTAAAACTTTTCCAAGGCAATAGTCAGAAAACTGGAATACTGTCAGCAGTTTTGGACTCCTTATCTAAGGAAAGGTATAGTGGCACTAGAGATACTCCAGAGAAGGTTCAATAAGTTGATCCAGAGGAGGATGAGGAAGGTTCTTAGGAAGTTGACTCGGTTGGACTTGTATGACTTGGAGCTTAGAAGAATGAGAGGAGACTGTATTCAAATATACAGGCTTCTTGGGGATTGTTGGGGTAGATGCAGAAAGGTTCTGCCCCCTTCTGAGCCTGTCTCTGACCAGAGGGCATTATCTCAGAGTAAGAAATTGCACATTTCAGACAGAGATGAGTTTTGTTTTTGCTGTCAGACGTGTAAATCGATGACAAAGAGGTCAAGAAAATTGTTCCCTCCTGTTGGTTCCCTAACCACTTGCCAATGACCTAATCCACCAGCAATGTTCTTTAAAATGTGGCCAGTTCTGTCAGTAGTGATGTTGTGGAGCTGTTGTTGGGATGAATATTGTATTCCCTAACTGAGAACATATTCTGGTTCCTTGCCATCTTAATGCTTTCTCCGGGTGGTGTTCAATATGGAGGAATACTGGCTTATTAGCAGAGGATAGGTGGTAAACATAATTACATGTTTGTCCCCCTGCCATGGAATTTCATAAGGTCTGACGATGATATTATGGACTCCATGAGTAATGTCATCACGGCTACATACCACTGTACTATCACCACTTTTGGGTGTGATGTGATGGTGGGACAAAGCAGATCCAAAGATGATGATGATGATGGTATCTGAGGCATTCTCGTGGAATCATACCTTACATACCTTGTCAGACAATTGCTTCAGTGGTCTGCGAGACAACACTCCTAATTTTGGCATAAATCCTAAGATGTCAGGAGGACTTTGTCAGCATTAGGGCTGTGTTTTCCATTGTTATTTTTGATTGCTTCGATGTCAGAGGTTCCTTCCTTGTTTCGCTTAGTAGTGGTTGAGACCATTTCAGGGGGAGTTAATAGTGAACCACATTGTTGTTCGTCTGGTGACACATGTAGGCCAGAGCAGGAAAAGATAGAGAATTACTTTCCCAACTGATATTAGTGAACCACTTTTTTTATAACAATAGACTGTTGGTATATCACCTTTATGGATATCTTTAATCCCAGATTATATTGAATTTGCATTTCAGACCCCTGTGCACAGGAAATTAGACTCTCATCTTGATTGTTTGTTCACTTGCATTACCACTCTATCATTGCCCCACTCTTATCTGGACAGGATGAATATAAATATGCTGTGAAGAGGCATGCATGATAGACTGAATGGTCTCTTCTCAGTTCATGTTTTAGTTTTATTTCAAGGCCTTGTCACCATTTTAAATAACATGACACTCCAGGTGAATGAGGGCTTCTTTAGAAGAAATATGATTCTTGATCACAGTTCAAATATTAAATGACATGCAAAAAGATTTCCTCATCTGACATATTTACTGCACTGAAATCTTTAAAAATAATTTGTCCAAAAAGTTTAATGTTTTTATTAACCATACTGGACAGCAATTAAATATGCTGTGTTTTTCAGCAACTAAAAATTTTACATATCTCTCTTTGTTGATTGCAGCTTTTGGACTTTTTGGATTATCATCCATTTTCATTCATCTCATTGATTCAGAGATCATTGGAGTTTGCTGTTAGCTACATATTTACAGGTGCTGGCGAGGGTGTGGTTTTTGAGCGGTTCATCGTTCAGTGCATGAACCTCATTAAAATGATCGTCAAAAATGATGCTTACAAACCGGCAAAGAACACTGAAGGTACAATTACTTCATATTATTTTATTTCCTTAATGCGTAAAAATCTTACTGCTGTTGTCAATTTGATTGCAATGGATTGCATTTTTAGTTCATTATTTTATTGAAAATAATTTGCAGCTGAATGCACAAGTTTGTATTATGTTCACTTCTGTTTTCTCGAATTTAATCAATGGTTTTTGTCATTGGTATGGAATTTGCTTTGCAATCTATTTGGAAGAAATTATTTCAGAGTTTAAAGTGTTGTCTGAAGCACATGCAGTATAAATCATGGAATCAATTTTAGAGGAAGATACTTTGTAAATTAAACTAATCATCTTCTTTGAAGGCAGTTCCTTTATAATCACCTAGGATAATATGAACATTTCACTTTTTCTGAGGGAAGTATTTTGAAGCCTTTCTCTTAAAATACACCAAATTAATTTAATTAAACATACCAGAGGCAAATATTTGTGGCCTGCATTTTTCATAATGCATTAAGTTATTACATCTAGTTAAAGTCAATATTTCAAAGAACTCCAACAGGCCACCCTTCCAGAGAAAAGTGCCTGAGGTATTCAGTTTTTCTTGATACTTACAGTTTCTCAATTCTTCTTGTTTCTCATATGCATCTTTCCCAGTGCTCCTCTATCTTTTTCATAATATGTAGACTAGAATTGCATGCAATCTGGGTTATTTTCAGGTGCAGTGTAACATAATATTATCTTTGCAGAGAATTTTCACTGCTTTTCTATCCTATCCCTCCAGAAACTAACCTGAGTGTTTGGCATGGTTTTCATGGCCTTATTAAACTGTATTGTTTGTGCATCCACACTCTACATTCCATTGCTTCCAACCTGTTTGGGTACTTACTATTCAAATTATATATGATGCATTTTTCTTCTCACAAAAGTTCCTGACCTAAATTAGTTATTTTGAAGTTGTTTTCCTAACTAAAAGACAATTTAAAAACTTTTATTTTTCGTTCATGGAAAGAGAGCATCGTTAGCTACGATAGCACTTATTGCCAATCCCTAGTTGCGCTGGGTGAGGTAATAGTGTACTTCCTCTTTGAAACACTGCAGTTTGTAGACACCTACAATGCTGTTGGGAATAGAGTTTCAGAATTTTGATCCAGCAACAATGAAGGCACGCAATATTGTTCCAAGTCAAGGTGGTGTGTAGCTTTGGAGGGTAACTTGTAGGTGGTGGTCCTTCCATGCATCTGCCGCCCTTAACCTTCCAGATTATAGAGGTTATGGGTTTGGAGGAACTGTCCTATAAGGAGAGGTTCAGAAGGTTGGGCCAGTATTTGTTGAAATACAGAAGAATTAGAGGCGACCTTATTGAAACATGTTTCCTCGTGTGGGAGAGTCTTGGGTGAGAGGGTGTAATCTTTGAATAATGGGTTGCCCACTTAAAACGGAGATAGAGGAATGTCATCTTTCAGAAGGTAGTGAATCTGTGGAATTCTTTAATGCAGAGGGCTGTAGAGGCTGGATCATAAAATATACCTAAGGCTGAGATTTTTATTCAGTAAGTGAATTGAGGGGTATAGAGAAAAGGAAGAAATTGGAGTTGAGGATTATCCAATCAGCCATAATCTCATTGAATGGTGGATCTGACTCAATGAACTAAATGGCCTACTTTTGGACATACACGTTATGGTTTTATGATCTTTATTAATATGTGTTGAAAGTACATTTTGCACTGCCCGTTTTACTTCTGGTTATCTTGATGTCTGTTCAAAAATAAAACCCCCTCAAACTATTATCAACATCTTACTACATTCTATAATTAGCCCTCCTTTATTTTCAGGCCTTTCCTCTTCTTTCCCTGGTCATCAATCTTATTATTTGTTTGGGGCATTCTTTTTAAAACAATCTACTGCACTCTCCTCTGCCTCCAAACAGCTTCATACTGTTCTGTTTTTGTTGTTGGAAGTTAGTTTTAATAATAATGATTTTACATTGTTATTAGATATTCAGGGGAAGAATTATTTTATGCAGTTTGAACATCCTGTATTACAGAGGCTAATTTGTTCGGTTGCAGATTCTCATAATTCTCATAAGTCTTGCACAAGGTACATAATTATGTCCTCCAGCATTCTCACTAACAAAATTCTGTTCAATGGAAATCCAGGAGTTGCAGGTAAACTGTTTTTGCAGTGGATTAATTGAGGTTAATTATAAGGTCATAAGTGGGGGTAATTTTGATGATTACACAATGTTCAGCAGCATCCTGGAATTCCCTTCCCAACAGCACTCTGGTGCATGTACACTTCTGCCTTCTTGAGAATATTTCAGGACTGTCAAATATGTTGAGCTATTTGGTGATATTGAAATCCCATGAACAAATAAAAAGGTCAGAGATCTTAAAGAATTGCTGATGCTGCTGGACAAAAGACACTTATGGGGAAAAATGCTCTGAAGTGCATTGTTTTCTATCATTTGCGTTTGCTTTCAGAGGATCTATCTAAATTGATAGGATAACATGTGTCCATCTGTATTTCATGAGATGGAAAATGCAGGACCAGTTGAAAGATATATTTATCCTAAATGTAAAACTAATTTTTCTCTTTGCACTTTTCACTAAGTAATTGATTAACAGTGGTTCAGGGAGTGCATGCATCAATGCTTTGTGAAAGGCCTGTAAGGATAGCAGAGACCCCTCATCCCAAGGAATTATTTTTAAAAATAGTGTTTGTTATTACAATTGTGGAACCAGCATACATGAATTTCTGTTAGACTATTTCTTTCAACTGAATCATACTTCCTCAACTGAGATCCTGAAATGCTTTTGTTTGTTACTCCTTTGCTAATTAGTATTTGTCAACAATGAAGTTGAAAACCAACCTGATTCCATTCCTTTAAATTTTTCATATGTCTGCTAACATGTTGAAAATTGAGTATCTTCTGGTTTTATGACATCTGTGTCGTAATACCTCTAGTATAAGAGAGACTAAAAACTGGCCATGTGAAAATACAATGGCATAATACATGTTTGACAGCATGGATCAAATAGAAAATTGGTTATAGTTCTAATATTTTGGAACTGATTAGCAATTTCTTTCTTATTTCAGAAAGCAAACCTGAAACTTTGGAAGCACATAAGATCAAATTATGCTTCTTCAGCTACTCAACTTTAACTGAAATCTGTAGAAGACTGGTATCTCATTATTTCCTCCTGACTCCGGAGGAATTGTCTATGTGGGAGGAAGATCCTGAGGGCTTTGGTGAGATTTCAGTTGAAAAGAAATTTACTTTAAATGTACATGTTTTTCTTATATATAATTCAGTCGAAATTTCTGCTGAGGTAACACTTTGCATCTCGAGCACTCATGAGGAAGCACTTCTCATATTCAATTTAAAGTTACTGTTTTTTTATGGTTCTTAAGTTATCCAGGAGCATAACACAAATGTATATCTTGTATATTTCAGAATTAAATTTATGCTGATTTTAGTGTGATTAGAGGATTTTTTCATTTATTCAAACCATCACTAATTAGTGTTTACAGTTCAATGCTGAAGTACAGTGAAGTATATTGAACAAATAATTTATGTAAGATAAAAGCTTCTCAGTATTTAGCTCAAGGTTCATGTATTTCAGTTTTTAAAAATATTTTAGTGATTAGATTTTAACAGTGAAAAGTAAGATAAATGTAATTGTTACACCATGAGGTGTAATGCACTTAAAAGGTTGAGGTCTTATTTTTTTCAAGAGGTTACCTATGTTTGCCTGTTCGAGACCCCATGGATTTGGTCTCTGGAAGCCAAACCATTTAGGACTAAAATGAGGAACTACTGCTTCGTTCTGTGGATGGTGAATCTTTGAAATATTCTACCCCAGAGATCTGTGGAAGCGTGATTATTAACTAAGTCTGGTGTAGAGATTGGTATATTTCCAGTCACTAATGATATCAAGGGACGTGACAATAGTGTGGGATTATTTCAGATGATCAACCATGATCGAGAAGCGCGAAACAGTATTGAGGGTCTCAATAGCATGTTAGCATAGTTGGCTAGGTCAGCATTTATTTACTGGAGAAGATAATGGTGGGCTGCCACCTTGAACTGCTGCAGTCCTGGTAGTGTAAAGACACCACAGTACTTTTAGGAAGGGTGTTCTAGCATTTTGACCTAGTGACAATGAAGAAACATTGATGTAGTTCCAAGTCAAGATGATGTATGACATGAAAGGGAACCTGAAGATGATGATGAGGAAATCACATTTCTAATTTTGATTTAACCAAGAATCTTTGTTTAGTTCCTAAAGTTACAGAATAATGGGTGGAGAGATATTTTATCTTGTTTATGAAGGTTGCTACAGAATTGAAGTGGGCAAAGATCTCATGGACTGTTATTCTGCAAAGCGTTCTAATGAGTAAGGCTATGGATGTTTACTCAAGTCCTTCAGAAGAACAGTCTTAGGATTGTGCTTTCATATTGGGTAATAATTTGACCAGAACAAGTGGTAACATTAGCAATGACTATATTGTAACAGTTGCTTGTTCATGCTGATTTTGCCACACTCGCCAAAATGACTGTGTCGAAACGAGAAAAGCCTAATGTATAGCATTAGTAATTGAATGAAGAACTGATCACCGTGAAGAAGTAACTTTTATATTTGAAAACTGAAAAGTGGTGAGAGCACTTGAGTGTCAGTCACAGGAGATAAGTCTTGAATGAGGACTTGAAATGTTGAAATAATAAACTTGTAACAATTTCCATAAAGATAGATCTACAATTAAAATTTAAGGAATCGCAAGTATCAGAAGTCTCTAAGAATCATGAAAAACACCTGGAACATAAAAAGGAGTTCCTCCTAAATTGGAACAGTTGATTGAATGTACAGTAAAAACAACAAGACTGATCTACTGAAACTTTCTTGTTGAAAAAGCAATAAATGTTTTGAAATCCAGTGCAATCTGGTGAATAAAAAGGAGGAGGGTCCTGACCCGAAACGTCAGCTTTCCTGCTCCTCTGATGCTGTCTGGCCTGCTGTGTTCCTCCAGCTCCACACTGTTATCTCTGATTCTAGCATCAGCAGTTCTTACTATCTTTGAATAAAAAGGAGTTGTGTGGTATGGAAGAACAGATTAGGACTGGAGAAGTAACAAGTGGCTAGACAAACAGTTGCTCAATAGGATATGGTTTAGGAATTGTGTGGAAGACAAAGTGTTGGAAAGGAAAATGAAAGGCAAGAATAAGGGAGCCATTGATCTCACGCTGAAAGAATTACATAAGGTCTGTCTGTAACGGTATCAGGGGAAAATGACAGATCATATTTAACAAGAATGTAATATACTTAAGTAAGCATAAAAAGCGTCGCAGTGTCATTTTTGGAACAGCGGTGGGTTTTGATCAGAGGTTATTGCACTGTGTTGTGACTAGCTGTAAAGCGTAGCCATGAGCAGGTTAATTCTCTCCTTACACAATGGGTACTTGTATAGATGATGTACTAGTTTGACCTCAGTTGAGGTAAGAGCTGTGTGTAAAAAAGCTATTAAAACATTTAATGATCATTTCACACGTAGAAACAAAAAGCACTAATATTGAATGTGTGAAGTTCGATGGCTGCAACCAGTGACTGAGAGAGTTTCTACTTGATGGAAAGTTGTGAATCTGCGCATTTTAAGGAATAATTAGTTTGAGATCAAATTATTTTTGCATGTTTTGATGAAAAATTGTCAGATTTCTCAAGGTCAAAGATGACTTGATATTGTTGTGGACCATTCATTTGACTAGGCAAGTCAAAGTTAGAACAGTACAGTAATTTGAGTTGACAGGGAGATTGATTTGCAAAAAGTGATCCACTCTTTGCATTTGGGTAAACTCTGGAGTAAAAACGTAGCTGCGCAGAAACTGGGATGTGCTAAGTGGGTGTGGTAGCTGCCGTAACTTAGTGTTATCTGTATGGTGGCCCTAAGCAGCATTGACCCAAAGATTGTCCTGCGATAACTATGGAGAGCCATTTTTATGAAAAAAGGTGTTTGTTTTAAAGTAGTATTTTGTAGCAAGAAATATAACCAAAAATAAAAATCCACAAAGGTTAGCAAAATCCAAGAAATTGGAGATTTTCATGATCTGGAAATGTTGTTCTTAAGTGAGATTAAAGGATCAAATGGAAATTGTTAGAGGGAATAAATTTCAGTCAGTGGACATCAAATGTGTTTTCAGATAGATAATAGAGTTGGAGTTTCTGTTCTTTTCAAAACTGGACTGTGATTGGAACAAGATCATCATCAGCCATTAGGTGCAAAACTCCATGGAATTAGGAAGCAAGCAACTTAGTCATGGGATACGTGACTGCCGTGCTTCAATGTAAAGAGCAGAAAGTCGCAGAATCCTTGTGTGTAATCCAGAACCAGGATTATTCATTTTGAAACAGAAAAGCTTATACAATTTACAGCTTATATATAAAATGGGGTAATTGTAAATAAATACGAGCCTCAATGTTCTGGAGCTGAATTTCCACAATAATGCAAAAGATATGGGAAGCTGAAAATAGCTTATTACATTACCCTACATCTTGAAGCAAATCCTGTGTTTATACCAAGGAAAGTTCCTTGTCCACTTTTGAAGAAATCAAAGCAAGAAGTAGACTCAATGTGTTACAATGAGGAGTTATCTCGCATATAACAAAATCTGGAAGGTGGAGTTCAGGTATGGTTACATTTAAGTTAGAATAATTCCATTTGGCAACTACCTTCAGATGAGGAATCAAAATTATTTACAAGTTTTATTTGACAATTTGGGAAATATTATTTTAACCACTTACATTTCAGTATTAAAACAATGCCAGGCATCCTTCAGTGCATGAAAAGCATTCTAGAAAGATTGGTCTTACCTATCTGATCTGTTGTTTCGATTCTTTTCCCAGCAGTAACGTTCTCAGGCACTCAATCCCACTCTATCTTAACTCTTTGATTTCTAACCTAACTGATTCTCTTCAGTTCGAATGGCCTAGTGACTTCTTTCTAGTTCTACTGCCTTCAACCTTCTTTGATAGCTTGAAAGATTATATGCAATCTCTCTTTCACAACTTGGACTGCTGAAACAGCTTCAAGACTTCACAAACCACTTTACCTTTTGTTGGAGAGAAGCTCTGCTGCACTGAAAAATATGTTTCTTCTGTATTGCACTCAAACCACTAGTGCCCACAGGTCTATATTCCTATATATCATAAACATTCAAGATTATAAACACTTCTTTGGTCAACACGGCAGGTATTCTATTGGGTACTTGAGGCAAATCTACTTCGACGTGGTCTGTTTAGTTCATTGTTCCAAATGAGATAATGATTTAAAAAAAATTGCTTTCACTGAACTGAAACCATCATCTATTTTACCCCTTCTTTAAAATCCACATTCTTTAATGATTATACAACTTTATCATAATATCGCCACACCTCTGAAGCTATCTGTGTATTGTTGCCAGAAATTTTGCCACAATTGGAAGTCTCACGTATTCATTTTTTTTTTTTGTTAACAAAAACTGAAAGGAATTTACTGAATCATATGGGTTTATGCACATGACTAACTTGCTGTGATTCCCACAAATTGATGATGAGGTCAACAATCGGGTATGGATGATAAAAGATTCGTTAACAACATTGCTAAATTATTGTTCTATCTTCTCCACAATGGTCTGGCTCCATATAAGCTTTTAATAGGAAGAGGCTGTAGACTGTTCGGCATACACTAATGCCACACCAAACAGCAACAAATATTGACAAAGTGAGGGAGGAGAAGGATGAGTACTGTTCAAATCAAATGCAGAATTATAATAATGCCACAGACTACACCTGACCTGCAAATTAGAGAATGTCTAGATTGACAATCAGAATCGTCGAGGCTAGGCTCTTGAGTGAACACTACACCATAATGCTTTCCTATGAGGACAGAAAAACGGAATTGTGTGGAAAAAAACGGAATGCACTAGTTACTACAAGGATGCAACCATTTGAAGAGTTGACCAGTTCTTCAAGAGGTCCGGAAGATGTTTTGTATAGCCAATTGGTGTAACCTAATGATTCTGAGCAACAGAGCTAAGAGAGCTCGAATTCTTAATCACCAAGAGAGCTGAGAACAATGTTCCCTTTAAGTTTAGTTGTTACTTCATGGATTTCAGAATGTTATGTGTGGTACATTTAAACAAGATAGTGTGTGTATGGGGTGTCTCAGTGACCACACATCTTACAGGGAACATTAGCCTTGAAGACCAACAACTTGACTGATGAAACCATAATGGGAATGAGGAGGAAGCCTCTACACTGGTTGGAGTCATGCACAAAAGAAAATGGCTGTGGTTGTTTGAGATTAGTTTTCTCAGTTCCAGGACATCTCAGTAAGAGTTTCTCAGGGTAGTGTCCCAGACTCAACTATCTTCAGCTACTTCATCAATGACATTCCCTCCATTAATGATCTTCCTACCATCAATAATCTCTCCATCATTAGGTCAGAAGTGGGCATGTTTTTTAATGATTGTACAGTGTTCAGCACCATTCATAAGTCCTCATTTTCTGAGGTAGTCCTTGTCCATATGCAACAGGACCTGGAAACTACCCAGGTTTGGGCTGACAAGTGATAACTAACATTTCTGCCATGCACATGCTAGTCAATGATCATCAACAAGAGAGAAACTGACCACTGCCCCTTGACATTCAATGGCATTGCTATTAACAAATCCTCAACTATCATTGACCAGAAACTGAACTGGCTGGCCATAATCAATATTATGACTGTAAAAGCAGTTTATAAATGAGGAATCCTGAAGCAAATAACTCTCCTCCTGACTCCCCAAAACTTGTTCGTGATATAAAAGGCCCAAATCAGGAGTGTGATGGAATACACATCACTTGCCTGGATGAATGCAGTTCCAACAACACTCATGAACTTGTACACTTCTTCTCATCCTCAATACTTACCTTTACAGTCCACCGTGTTAACATTTCTAGACTCTCCTTTCTCTATCACTTTTGCTGTTCTTTACTCCTTATTTCTCACCAGGGTCTTTGACACTCAATCCTTGCATCTTCTCTTATGCCCTCATCTCTCAATGGACCTTCTCTCCCATTTGCATAATCAGATTGCCACTAGATTTTGGCTCTTTGTCAAAGCAAAGATATATTGACAGTGGAAGCAATCCAGAGAAGATTCACCAGGCTTAGTGTGGTTGTGGAGGACTGTTGGGAGGAGAGGGTGAATAGGTTGGGTCTATCCTCATTGGAGTTCGGAAGAATGAGAGGTGACCTTCTTGAAACATACACGATTCTTAGGAGGGCTTGACAAGATATATGCGGAAAGGTTGTATACCCTTCTGAGAGAGTCTAGGACCAGAGGGTCTGGTCTCAGAGTAAGGGGTCATGTATTTAAAACAAATGAGGAAGAATTTCTTCTCTCAGGATCCTGAATTGTGGGATTTCACTGCATTGGCGAATTTTACTGCAAGAAGTTGAGGGTTATGGCGAAAAGACTGGAAAATGGAGTTGAGGATTATCACATCAGCTATGATATCATTGATTGGTGGAGCAGGCACAGTGGGCTGAATGGCTTCTGCTCCTACTTCTTATAATCTTCCTTTATGGCCTTCCTCCTCCTTTCCTTCCTTAAAGACTTTGGCAATTGCGGTAAATCTGCTTTCAACCAATGGAATGTACTTGTTAGTCTCCTTAGTAACAGATTTGAGTTATGTTGTACAAAAACAAAGTTGCTGGAAAAGCTCAGCAAGTCTGGCAGCATCTGTGGAGGAGAAAACAGAG